AATTCAAGATATCTGAGATCATCAGACAAATGGCTTAGAATATTGTTAGTTGGATTCAATTGACGGTACTTAGCCCTATGACAGAACTAACTGTCTGATTTGGCTATAGATGTGATTTTTAGAATTTTGCGCTTTTATGCTCTACATAGAAACTGCTGGAAGCATAACTTACTTATTAAATTCAGGTTTGCAAATGGCTTGCATTAGTAAGATGCGTACAATTTGTGAGTTCTTGAGCTCACCACATTGCACTGTTGCTTTCTTGAATACTAACTGCTTAATATCATCAGCGGTCATGATATGCTGACTGGCATCGACGAATATACTCAGGAATAGGTCTCAGAGCAGGAGTATCACTTGACAGCTTGTAGTCACGTGCATTTTTAGCAGCGAAGATCATGCTTCAACAGAAGATCATGCGTTATTGTCACGGAATGCCATCAAATTGGGAACTTCCCATTGAATCTAAGTTTATGGACAGCATGAAAATGGTATGCCAAAAGCGTATGAGTTCACAAAACAAGAACGTTTCTCCGCTGCAAGTCGGCTGATCAGAAATAGTCAAAATCACCGAGTTTCATTGCCTTGTGTTGTTGCCGTCTATGGAGTAGTGATCGCATCCGAGCGAAATTTCATTTCGGTCGGAATGCAACATGAAATTTTCATTCCTACAGTCGCAATCCCGAGCGACTGTCGAAATGGTTCGGTTGGACGCCGACCGAATTCACATTTCATCATTAAGAAAGCACTGATTTCAGGAGCACCTGTGCCCAATCCAGATTTTCCCGTTTATATCGCCGTCGATACAGATGTTTGTTTGCTGTTCACTTTTTATTCGCATTCATTTATTTATTTGAAAATCTCCACCAGCCATTTCCATACAAAGTACTGTGCACTCCGTCAAACTGTCTTCGTTCACTTTCTGCAATCATTTTTCCATACTGCTATCAAACAAAAACCAATTGTCATCGCAAAAATTTCAGGTGATAAATCGAAATTCAACACGAATTGATCTTGTTGAAACGTTTCATGCGCTCACATCAGCTAAAGCTGTTAAGCCAGGCGGTTTGTTCACTTGATCAGCATTCATCCTTTATCGCTTTTCAATGTTCATTCATCCTTACCAAGTCTTGGATCAATTTTTTTTTGAATTTATCAGATATATTAACCGGATTCACACACAAGAACAAGACGACTCCTGCACGGGCAAAAGCACCATCGCCACGCGTTCATGAATTTGTGCCCAGTGAAAAGCTTCACGGAATGGTTCCTGGTAGCAATGAGCAGCTGATCAAATCTTCTTTCACTGGTATCAGTCATTTTGTTTCAGTGCCATTTTCTTCTCTCTCCGTTCAACCGCTAATTATAAGCTCCTAATTGTGCACGAAATAAAGGTGTATTCAAATGTAGACGGCAAGTAGGTAATTCTTCTCATAGTGTTCTAAATGCCTTGGACTGCTTGCTCGCTTATTGGCACTCTCTCCATCCCACTCATTTGATCAAGTACGAGTACTGCTCACAACAAGAGTTCAGTAGTGGAAATGGACGTGGAGAAACACAGATACACTCGTGATGCTAAAGAGGGTTGGCATTCGTGGAGCACAATCGATAGTAACTGAACTGGTAATCTGGCGATCACCAGCTTTCTGCTCTCAAATAAATGTCTGAAAACATCTGGGCAGCATTCGATCATTTCAAGTTAATCGACTAAAACTCAGTCAGTGCAGTCGTGCACTCTCAAGGCGAACAAGATTTTTATACGTACCACGTGAGGTTTTCGATTCAAACAAGTCAAACAGCTTGGCTATCAATTTGACGTTGTTACATGGGTGGATAAGGATTTTTTGAATAATAATAATAATGCTTACCGAATAGCTAAAATATAAGGAGTATATAGGTGAAGAAGCGAAGGGCGGCTGGCAGGAATGGGGTGCATGGTCGCATTGCTATCGAGATGAGCGAGTTCGAGTACGATCTTGCCGCCATACGCCAGGCAACGACTGCAGTGGCGCTGGTCACGTCGAGCGGCAACTATGTCTGAAGCCGAACCAAACGCACACTGCACTCGCACGTGATCCGTGGGCTATCGAACGTGAAATCCGACATGACAACGTAGATTCCGATGATTACGTGAAATCCGACATCCTATCATAGACGTATGATAATGGATAGTGATCATTATTCGCAGTACACGATCATGTTTATAAATAATTGTAATCTCATTTTAATAGTATTATCATTTCATTCTATTTTTCTCATTCGTGCAATTGATTTTTACACTGGTGATCAGATTTCCATTATCTACGGTCTTCATGATCATTGTCTCAAACTGATCAATGTCTTCGATCACTGCTCTTCAAAAGCTGCTCTTTTGAATTGACCGATTGTGCTATAGCCACCTTTCTGAAAATCTTTTGTGCTTCTTCGAGGCATTTTTGTGTTCATTCGAGTGAGATTGTGTCAAGCTGTGTGTTTGAAATGATAAATGAAGTGAAGTCATGAATAATAAATACATTGTACTTTGTTACTGTTCTCAATCTCAAACGATCCAACGTCAACAAATCATTCAATTCGAGATAAACTGACAATGCTATACCGTACATCAAGGAATGCTGCAGCTCTATCATGTTATCTTCGCAAAAGAACTGATACTATGCCTCATTTGGAACAGATTTCAGGTTCACAATATTACAATTAATGGTCAATTTTTCAGCACTCGATTAGATGTTACCATTGAATTAATCCATCCATTAGTAAATCGTTCAATTCAAAAAAA